CAGTGCCTCAATTTAATGTGCACTATTTCTGGCAGTCTGCTTAGTCTCAAAAGTGCTACAAGATTCCTTTGTGTAATGATATTCCAGACTATGGGCCATTGCAGACCAGCCCAAAGGGCCGGCCTGGGGTAGAGTTGGGGTGGGGCAGCCACACATCAGCCACCCCAAATGCTGTCCTGATGCTGCACGACTGCACGCATGGACACAAAACATCAGGACACCCTCCCAGCACAGCGTTTAAACATGCTGCTCTTAAGGTGGCCTTTTACCACCCCTAAAAGGAGCGGCATTTTGCCACTCTTTTTGGGGTGGCAAAAAGGAGGATTGGGGCCATGGCGTGGGGTTGCTGTGGCCCTGATCTGCCACTTCCTGGGGCAGCTCTGCCACCCAAAAAAGCCAGTCTGCATCGGCCCTAGCATGGCTATGTCTCTGCTCTATATTCAGTTATGCAAAGTAATCTTGATTTCTGTATTCGCTACATATTCACTATTGTCAGAATTGTATATGCTTCTCAAACTTCAGGGGGTTGCTTTGAGCAATGGAGGCCTGTTCTGCTGGTGACTGGGATGTGGCAGGATGATATTTCCTCCCTTCACACAGTGAACAAAGTGCAGATCACTGGTGGTAAAATGCTGAAAGAGACATTCTCCTGCACCCTGACCACCAGCAGAACTGACCTTCATTCCTTAAGGCAGCTGCTGACTGTTAAGGTCAGTTTGGGGGGGGTCAGGCCAGGAAATGATATTTAGGGCCAGAACAAATGCCTTCTGAGTGTCTTGGAAGCATGGCATTTACATGCCGCATGCTTTGATGATGCCCAGAAGCCACACAGAAGCCGGCTGGAACATCTTGAAGCCACCCTGGGGCTGTGGCAGGGCCAGGAAAGCCAGCTCTTTCCCTGCCCAAATAGGAACTGATCTTTTCCACTCCTATCTGAGGTGGGTTCAAGTTGAACTGAGGATGTGGTGTATGTTTGCTGCAGCCCCAATCCTTTTTCAACAGTGACAGCTTCATGCCACCCCTTCTTGCCAGTCTGTTCTGGCCCTTTGTTATCTGTTTACAATTATGTCAATGATGTAGGATCTGCACCAATATTAGCAGTCCAATGATGGTAGGATAGAGGGCCAGGGTGGTATTTAACCTATAGCGTTGGACAAAAGCTTCAGGAACAAGGTTTAAACTGTTCTATCATGAAGTTCAGTGATTGGATTTGGTTCTCTTTTCCCACTCCCAATGTCTCCTGTCTCTTCACCTCCCTTTTCTTTTGTTATTCTGGGGCTACAGTGGAACAGTCCTAGGTAACCCACATGTATCTTCTTGGAAGAAAGTGTAGGATAAAAATATGATGCCAAATGAGAGAGATACAAAATAATATAGGGAGAGGATGCATCCATTTAACCACATTTTTTCTTGTATTTGTGGTAATCTATGTTACCTTCTGCTAGATTGTCACTGAATTAAACATATTGCCATTAGCATTGTGTTTGAAATCCTCTTGGAGGTTAATACTAATGTAAAGGGGGTTATACTAACAGAGATTTTCATGATGTTATGTAAAGAGGTATCCTTTGACTGGCCATGGGACTGTGCTAGAAAAACTCCTATCCACCATCAAGGGTTGATTGCTTACACCTGCTCTCTCTGACACCTAGAAGTTCATGCAAGTCTTTCAACTGAATTTAATAGTCAACTATCTTCCTACTGGTAGTTCAAGGTGCAACTGCTGCATGATGGGGTGAGTTCCTGTTACCAGTCCTAGCTTCTGCCAATCTAGCAGTTTGAAAGCATGTAAATGCAAGTAGATAAATAGGTACCACTTTGGTGGAAAGCGTTCCTTGCAGTCATGTTGGCCACATGATCTTTGGCTTAGTAATGAAGATGAGTACCGCCCCCTACAGTCGGTTACGTTCATGTCAAGGGACTACCTTTACCTTTACTTTCCTACTGCTTTTTTACTAATTTGAGCTCTTAGTAAACATCTTGGATCACTTTGTCTGACTGGCACCCATTGGCTATAGAAATCTTGAGTTAGATCAAGTCACACTTTCTTTCTTTGTTATTAGTTGTTATGTGACTTCAAGTTAACCCAGACTTGCAGTACCCCTAATCATTTATTTTCTTGTCAAGATGTATTAAGTGAAGCTTTATCATTGCATCCCTCTGAGGCTGAAAGAGTGTGACTTGCCCAAGGTAACCCTGTGGATTCCCATGGCTGGGCCAGGATTCAAACCCTGGCCTCCCAGAGTCCTAGTGTAACACTCAAGAGCTACACCACACTGGCTCCTTTGTGTTGTTGTTGTTGTTGTTGTGTGCCTTCAAGTTGTTTCCAATGTATTGTGACCCTAGGGTGAACCTGTCATGGGGTTTTCTTGGTAAGATTTGTTCAGAGTAGGTTTGTCATTGCCTTCCCATTGTACTAAGAAAGTGTGATTTGTGCAAAGTCACCCAGAGGATTTCATGAATGAGTGGGGATTCGAACCCCTGATCTCTAGAGTCCTAGTCTTATGGTCAAACCACTACAATACACTGGCTCTCTGTAAATGAGCTGATCATATAAACCAGGGTTGCCTGTAAGTTGCAGAAACCAAAAAATATAGTGCATATCCCTTTATAATAAACCCTTGAAAGAGATGTGCTTAAATGTAGTCCACATAATAGCTGGTTACATTTGTATTTTCTTGTAGCAATGTGTATTGTAAGATGAAGAACCACTTTTCCTATTAGAACTGGAAAAAGTAATTAGCAGCACATTTCTGAGTATATTTACTTGGAAATTAATCCAGATTTAATGAGTCTAATTCTTTTTAGGTATGCCTAGGATTGCAGACACTTAGATCATAAATGTGATTCATTTAAATTTTGATTTGCATATTTCAAAATAGGGTCAAATATTGTTCCATCATACTGAGCCAGTACAATATTTATTAGTTTATTATATTTATTTACCATTTAATAGTTTACTATATTTATTTAAATGTTCTCAGAGTTGTTTATAGTCACTTGAAATAATCTCCCCTTGTATGAATCAAACAGTTGCCATATCTTCCACATGGTTTGTGAAATGAATGAATGAATAAATAAAGTGATTATAGCATTTGCTTTTAAATTAAATAGTGGGTGGAGGAAACAATCTTTAAGTGCCTTGTTTAACACTTCTGCTGTTTGACAGCACCTAAAGTATTTTGGACAAATTTAATTATCTCTTACTATGTCACATGCAAGAGAGAAACTCATTTCCAGAGCCACATGTCTACTTGTTGTGATGATTACCTCCATCATGTCATATTTCAGCCAACACTTTAGTATCCAAAAGGTCATCTAGTAAGAAAGGATTTCAAAATAGACTTGCTGTACTTTCAAATGCAATCTACTTAAGTTCCCAAATTGTCTAAACATCAAATAGGATTTCATTCAACAGGTGTGCGGTGGTTCATTTATATTTATATCTCAATTTATATGGTAATTTCACAAGCCATACTTAGTGACACATGAGAGCCAGGTCTCATCTGAATTAGACTGGTCTTTTTCAGCATATGTAACATTTATTGCAAATGAAATGTCAAGTCAGATGTGCCAAAATACAGATCCCAGCCTTGGGTCATTGTCTCACATAGGTGACTTTTGCTCTTAGATATGAGTATCTCCAGCACTCTCAGATTAAAACTTGCTTATAATTTTCTTAAAGGATGAGCATCACTTTTCCATTATACTTCAGGCTTAATTCAGGAAGATAATAAAGAAAATCCACTGTATAGACCAAGATCCTATATCATGACTTAGATAAGGAAATGGAGTTACATGAAAAACAAGCTAAGCTCTCTATTTTTAATATTTTTTCTCTCACATTTGATATTTTGTGACACTACATAGGGAACACAGTGCAATAGAAATATTCCAGCTGGCATCCTGTTACTGATCAAGTCAGATTTACCCCATCACAACTCAGTTTTATGGTCATTAAGTGGGTTAGAATCCTGTTACAGCCCCACAGTTGCCAAAATCCCCCACAAAGAATATCATATTCAGAGCACTAACAAGGGTCTGCAGAGGGTTTTGCAGGTGCTTGATGCATCATGTTCAATTACAGGAAAATCACTGGACATGTCCCAGCTCATCCTTCCACTCTCTGACAACACAGAAATGGCCATGTGTCCATATATGGGAAGAGTGTGTTGCTTATAAGGTGAGTTTTTTGGGAGATAGCATCACAATATATGTATGCCTCTTGAAGCAAGGTCTTAGTCAATCCATTTCTTTTTTTTGAAAGGTATGGCTTTAGTAAATAAAGGCTCAAAAGTATGAAATCAGACTATTCTTCATTTGAGGTGTTAGTAGAATCATCAGGGGAATGATTAAATATTTATATGTTACTCAATAAGAGTTGTTTGATGTGCTGCCATTTTGAAGGCTTAATTTATGTACTCCTGTTCTGGAGAAAAGATCAGTCTCTGCCAACAGCTGATGTAGGACAAGTAGGTTAGAAAAGAACATCCATGGGGACACATCACCCCCCCCCCCCTCAGATTTCTTTTGCACCCAAACCTGCCCCAGACTACTGAAATGACTGCCCTGGAAAACCACAGAAATCATGATTCATACTTTAAAAAGGTTGAAAGGCTTCTTCACTGTTTAACACAAAAATGTCAAAACACACACACAAACACAAATACACACACACACACACATACACAGAGAGAGAAATGTGCTTCTGAACATATCCAATTTGGTTTTGTTTTACTATCTGAGGATTTTTGTGTTGGGGAAATATTCCTTTAAATAATTGTGAAAATATTTTGATAGAAAGGCGGTATTATATCCTGTGAGACTGTCATAGGATGCTGAGTCAGAGCACATGGCACGATGCACACTTACTGCAAAGGTTACATCATGCTGTGTGGCACCAGATTATGACTCACAACCAACGCATATATAAGTGGACCGGGAGATAGGTCACATGTGGATTGGTGGATTGGAGTGGATTGGAGTTGGTTGGTTGGTTGGTGGGATGGATAGTTGTTTGGATTGTTGTTGTACAACAGATAGAGAAATTGATGGAAGTCAGAGAGGAGAGTTTGTAAATATTTGCATTATATTGCAACTCAAGATAAAGAACCTCCAAGGACATGGATGGAATCAACTCTGTGAGTTATTTTTTAGTGTGAAAAGTGGTCAGTGCATTGCCAATAACATCTGGAATTTTGCTTCCATACTCTGCTATGTTATTATTATTGAGTTACATCTGAGTGCATTGTCCTCAAATTGTGCTGAAAGCTGGCTTTGGACAGTGAGTTCATAGAGAGACAACATTTTGTTTACTTATTGTTGTTGTCGTTTTCTTTTTTTACAGTACTTGCAGTCCCCAAAGGTCCCAGGGCAGAAAATTTCTCTCTAGACCTACTGAAGTTGACCTTCCTCCATCTGATATAAACAGCAGAAAAGACAATGGCTGGAATTCTGTTGGTTGATCTTAACTAAAGTAGACCCATTAAATCAATTGTTTAATGGTGAGTCAACACATAGTTAAATCCAATCAATCAAATGGTTCTACTTTAGTTGGTACTGCCAGTAGAATTTAGGCCATCAGTGGCAAATTGTAATGTATATGACATTGGAGGGCATTCAGGTGAAAGAATACTTGAAAGCACAGCTGGTGCCACTGGGTGCAATAATAATGTTGCTAGAGTAGGTTTAAAGTATAGTTGGTACAGGTGTCTATTACAGCATATGATTCCTTGGCCATTTTCTTTACAGCTGTTGCCAAATACCTTTCAGTCTTTCCAAACCTGGTGTTCTCCAATTTTTTTCCAAACTACCATCAATCTTAGCTAAAATGGTCAATTCTGATGAAACATGGAAGCTGAAGTCCAAAACACCTCTAGAGGAACAGATTGAGAAAGGCCATTGTGAAGAAATGTATCAATGGAGAAGCACTATCTCCCCCCCCCCCTTCAGCACCTCCATGACCAAATCATAATTTTGATTGAGTCTATATGTGAAGTTTTAGGTGTGAACTCATCCTCAAGAGGTCTCCTGTTTTCTTCACTAGTGTGCTTCTGGTCTGTCTTCAGTGGTTATCAGACTGGCTTTAATCATCTCTATTTTTCACCTCACTCAGACGATGTCACACATTCAGAAATGCCCAGTTTTATATCCTTTACAAGGTTGTCATATTTATACAAAATCCTTTTCTTGGCACAAAGATAAACATTTCCAGAGAATTTCCTTCATGTTAGTGAAATCAAAATGAAGATGGGAAAAAGAAATTGACATGTTCTTGTTGTCCTCCAAGAATAATCTGCTAGAGAGAGGACAACATTTTGCAACAAAACACTGCTCTAAACTGCACAGATGTTATCCTTTGGCCACTTAGGAAAAACCATCTGCATATTGCCAAAAAGGGGTGGGGAGAGGAAAAGAAGAAAAAAGATATTTTGATATGTTTTGGGGATAATAATAACAGGCATTTTTTCAATAACTTTTGAAATTCAGCAAGGATGGTTTCTACTCTTCTTCAAATGAATCAAAAGTGTATGCTTGTGAATTCAAGCTGGATTCTAGTAATATCCTGCTATTGTTATTCTTCTATGGGTTCTTCTGAAAAAGGCAAATGGTCTTTATTGTATCAACCTTTCCCACCAAACTCTCAATCTATAGTTCAGTGATTCCCTACAAAGGCATTGAAATATAAGCCAAGTACTATCTGAATATTATATATGGAGAACTGGGACAAGTGATACTTGTTGTTGGATGACAGAAAGATTTGGTGACATAGAGATATATAACTGGCATCAAGAGATTTGTTATCAAATCAAACTTTCCTCACAATAGATTTCAAATCCAGCACATCCAGTGATAAGAAATTGGAAGACATACATGCATATGTGAATTTGCTTGAAGTTATCTGTTGTGCCTCTTATTCAATGAAAATACTTTACTTACAAAGCACTGCTGCAAAATGAAAAAGAGCAGAGTAAAAAAAAAACAAATTAGCATTGGATATTTCCAAGACTCTGATTTGGTGGAGAGTGATAGGAAATGATTTGTTTAGTCCCTGTGGAGAAGCAGGCCAGATGTCTCACTGTTTCAGCTGTCCCAGACAATTAGAATGCAGAGTGGTACTATTTTCAGCATTTGTTGGAGGCTGCACGCCTGCCCCGCTTGCCATAACACACGTCGATATTTACATCCCGAAAGTATAACTGTGATCAAAAGAGAGGTGGTAGCAAAGTTTAAACATGCTCTGAAGACATACATGCTCTGTTCAAGCTAAAAAGTCCTACGTGCAGAGAAGCAACCCTAGCAGGTTGGAAAACCATCTGCACAGCTTGGTACTGCATACTCAATGTGCTTCCTTGATCCATCAGCTGTGATGGTATTTTCCATTGGCTGCATGTGCACTGCAGAAATAATCCAGTTTGACACCATTTTAACTGACATGGCTCAATGCTGTGGAATTCTGGGAACTATAGTTTGTAATGACATCAGAGCCCTCTGATCTAGAAGGCCAAATGTCTCACAAAACACCAGAATT